AGGATTAATACACATTATTAAATTATTAATATTTTTTTAGACGAGTATTATTCTCTATTCATATATTTTTTAAATATTGTTGATAATTGTTATTAGTACCAGAATCTATTTCTTTTTTCTAATCTTTTTTGATTTCATGTCTTTGTTTGCTTAACCCAAGCAAGCAGTGAAGGATTCACTAACATCATCAAAAAAAATAAATAAAAAATTAGAAACAATAACAAATAAAATTAACAAAATAATATACAAGAATCACACCACCCGTCAAGTACTTTGACGAAATATCACGGGAAATCAATGTCTCAGCAGCAACAATTGAAGTTGTGCTTTCATTGATTTTATTTTTGCTTTAATTTTTTTGGTGTTTATGTTGCCATCATCATTATCATTTTATTGTTGTTTCGTTTTTTATTTAAACTAAATTATCAATTAAAAAAAAGAAATAAACATTAATCTTACAAGTCTTGTGCTACTTTTTTTAACCAATCATTACACTAACAAATAATTATTTGAGAGTATAAAAATAAATAACATACTTATGTTCCTGATCAATTTTGCGCGCTAAAGTTATTCCCTGTTCATGATACTTTGATCAACCGGAAAATCGGACAGACCTTCATCTGAGACAATAAAATTAAAAATGTTTAATAAGTTAGTGTTAGAACTTTACATGTCCAGTTGAAAGAATACGACGCAAAAAAATTAATTTTACCTGTTGACAAATTTTACAATATAATACAATTTCTTCAGGACTACACAACATCAAGCTTATTCTTTCTCTTTGAACTTCTGCCATTCGACCACTTCGATGTACATATCTCTATATATTTTATGAAAAAAATTACTTATCGTTATAAATAAATACTCAATAAAAATGTTCCACAGATACCTACGTCACCAGTACATGTTTCACCAATACTACATCACTGACGATCATGACAGCTTTCGGTATCTATTTTTTTTTTAATAAAAAGTCAGAGATTTACCTTTCTAAATTTTTCAATCGTTGTCTTTGTTGCAGTCCCAGTGTTTCGATTACCAATCATCTAGTAATGGGAATTAATCCTCGAATCGTGTTGATATTATTGACGAATATATGTTATAAAGCAGTAGATGTAAACATCCTAATTTGATAGAATAAAGATATTTACTGATAAGATGCAAATGAATTTATTCGTCACGATGCAATCAATCTTTGATGCTAAATACTCAGTGATGGTAATACCCAAATGACAAATAACCAATGACTGGTCATTTAAAAGCTCAATGACCTAACTGGTCATTTCAGAATCTTCTTTTATCCAATTAAATTAAATTAAACTTGTGACGTCATTATAAAAATCACTCACAGAACTCTATTGGTTGAAAATGAATCACATGACAAATGACCTAAGTCATTTATATATATGTCATTTACGATCATTGCTAGATATCGATAGAGATCGGGTCAGGATTAATTCCTCTAGAAGAAAACAAAATAATATTATGTATAAATGTAATTTACTTATGACTCATGAAAAGACATTGCACTCACCCATCGTGGACACGCGTTTTATTAACCTCGAATTTCTTTAAAGTGTTTTTGAAATACTTCTTTTTCTTCACGTTCTCTTTTAGATTCTTGTCGTGTGTGGCAGAGAATATACGTAAATGTTTGTTTTTTTAAGGATCTATCATTATTTGTTATTTATTTATCGGAGATTGTTTAAAATACTTATTAAAAGTCTAAACAGTTACTTTTTCTTTCTTGTTCATTTTTTGTTGATTCCAGTGGGTCCTTTGCTTTCGTTATCCGACCAATAATTGGTCTTTCTAAGTGTGAGAAGTATTTAAATAACTTAGTTCATATTCTATGAAAATAAAATACGACACGCAATAAAATTCTAATAATTTGTGAAAATATAACTTACTGTCCACTTTTGGATCAGTTAATTATTCAATCCTTGGAAATGGCCAGACTCGAGCATACTCGAGTACAAAGAACTTTATGTGACAATTATTAATCAAAATAAATTAAATTTCGAAGTGAAAAGAAATAAAATTACGAAAATACAAGAATATTTAATGGATCAATCTAATTGTAACAACTGTTACATGTAACACTTCAATATTAACCGATCACATATCCAGAATCTTAACCCTAACTCTGGTTCTATTTAGCCAATTAAAATGTGTGGTTGTTACAAACAACAGTTGTTACAAATACATTTATTCATATTTAATTATAATTACAAACCTCTGAGACCACGCCCATAATCGACCAGGAGTAGCAACAATTATATTCGAATATCTATCCACAAGTCGTCGCTGCTTTGAACACTGCCATATCGCTGACAATTTATATGAAAAATTTAGTGGTATTCAAAATTAGGTAATTAATATTAATTCACTAACCTTGACGTCATCAAACTTTCCAATGCTCAATATATGATATCGCTAATTCTCGAGTCGGAGTAACTATTAATGCCACAAGTTCGTTTGTACGTGTATCATCAACATATCTCAACTTTTCTCCGATAGGTTTGTTTCCTCATTCATTAAATACTGTATAATAGGAAGTCCAAATGCAAGTATTCTCCCCGATCCAGTTTCCGCCGCCCCAATTAGCGCGTCCAGATAATACATGGGCAAAGTTTTTTTGAATAGCCGTGGGCTCGGAAAATTGAAGTGATTTAGGCGAGTATGATGTTTGAGCAGAGTCAAAAATCAATCCATGTAGATGCGTTAAAATATATTCAGTCTAAGAATGGTTGAACAGATAGAATGTAGGAATCAATGAATATTTATTATTATTACATATATTGTTACTATAGTAACATAAATTTCTTTAATTCAATAATCTTTCTTTGATTATATGAAATTCCCTTTTTCTTAATTTTTACAATTTATCATCTGATTATCATTATTTTTATCCAATCGTATAATTATCTCACTTTTATTTTATTACCCTAAATCTTATATTTATATCCTAAATATCA